AGAACTGAACGGGTTCTGATGAGAACAGTGTAAGCGTTCAAGCAAACCACTTCTGAAGATGCAAGCCACTCGTGCTTGCGAAACGTCAGGAATACATTCTACCGAACGACGGCCTAAAAACCCGAAAAACCCATTAGTTTCAAGGAATGGCCTTAAAAGTCTATCTCTTCTCTGAATGATGGTCTGATGAAGACAGAAATGAAGAATCTAATCAGAAATCAACGCGAAAACTGAAAGAACTAACGACAAATGCTAATCGTGATCTGGCCCAAATCAATTGCAATTAAATTCATGTCTAGATCTTAGTCTAGGCGGGTTTTGATAGTAGAATTCACACTAAAAACAGTAAGATTTTATCAAGCCTGTGTAACTATCATCATATTGAGCTTCCAACTTGCTTTTAAGTTGAGGATTGCACTGATTACCTGCGATTAGATACAATACGAATTAAATGTATGTCATTAACCTTGTTTTGCTTAAGCGGTCAATTTTCAGTAGATTTGATGACTAATGCAAGAATACGTTGGGGATTTTTGAGCCGGATTACCCAGAGAAAAGGGAAAGTTTCTGAATATTAATGCATAACGTATACAGGGCATTAGAGGTAGTTCGTATATGCATTCTGTGACCAATTTTGTGCAAAAATTATTTTAATTTTTCCTCAATTCCCAACGGTTCATGAAATATCGAGGGTTCGAATTTTCCAAGTCGCATTAAATTTTTATTTGGTTGTTTAAATTATTTCAACAAAGCTTCAAGTCAGAGCGTAGAATGAAGCCTGAGAGAGCTTTCATTCCCGGATAAATCATAAAGCTATTTAAAGTTTAATTAAATTTATGCGAACCTGAACAGTTTAAAGCAAAATTATACGCGTCCAGCCCATAACTCAGCACATTTTTAATGTACAAGGAATAATAGATTTCAACGTGTTTATCGTCAGCTTGAGTGCTATTAAAATTTAGGTTCGACTAACAAATGCGAATTAATTGGCGAAACTAAAAATTTTATAAAAACTAAAATATTTGGAATTTTTCTTCTGTTATAAAACAAAATGAATTGATAATAAACGACATGGAGAATTATATAAATTGCTCAAGAACCAGCTGAATCATACAGAACTTTAATCTCGACTTCTGAAAAAAACTACTTTGTGCAAACCTAAATGATCATAACACATAATCAACATCAATAAATCATAACAATGTACATATCGGCCGCCAATATGCGAATTTCGACACCTAATAGATAACCGAAGTTCATTGCCACAATCATGTTTGCTCAAGACCGTATTTTATGCAATTTTCATTCGAAACTTATCCACATGAATAACTTGCCCCCCAAAATACGAGGTTTGATTACATGTTATTGCCTCATTAGTGTTTAATTTAGGCTTCAGCCGGGAAACCTGAATAATTAAATGGCAATTTACTAATGAAAAACCGCTTAAAATGCCTCAAATTGGCTAAACAGATGCCGGAATCAAACATTTTAAATTTAGGATACAGATGGAACCGGGAATAATTAAAAAAACGGACTGTTGGACGATACTGCCAGATTCCTGCACACTTTCTGGACGAACTACTTTTAGCTCATTGAAACTAAATTTATTTCCAATCATTCGAATTAGTTTCACAAAAGTTGATGCGAGCGGGATGGGAATAACACATGAATAGAATGCCAACTGATTTTTTTATAAATACATCTTACAGCATCTGCGCACGTATTTTGCTATATAAATGTGCATTTGAGACGATTTGCAACAAATCATCTCTATAAAAAGGAAAGCAGCGCAAGCGGGAGTTGCGACGAGAGGGTGAAATGATAAATAATCAATGTTCAAAAAACATTTATTCATGTGTAAGCTCAAAATGTCTTTTAAAAAATTATTTTGTTCATTAATCAGTGTTTTAGTAGACTGTTTGTTTGCTTTGACGCGTGTTTATTTCTTATAGAAAGTATCCGAGTAAGCCTAGCTTTGATGATATTGTTAGAACCACATAGTTAGTGAGTGTATGAAAACTCTTTTATGCACTGTATATGTTTAGTGTTTATAAATCGCAAAAAATAATAATAAATAGTTCACTCAATCTCAAAAAAGTGTAAAAAGTAATTGAAAATAAGTTCGGGATTCTCAATTATGTTACATAATTATTCCGGTTAATTTATTGATTCTGCATGTAACGAGTTTTCGCGCTTCGGGTGTTGAGATTAGTTGAATACGAAAATAACTAAAATGCACCCACATCAGAGCGGAGCTGAAAATGCCTCAATTTTAATTCCGGAGTTTTTAAAACGCGAAAAATTCTGATATTTTATAGATTTGAGCGAAAAACGAGCTTCAATGCATGCATAAAATTTGGCACTATGTTGGTCCCAATTTTCTGTGGCTTGAAGCACTTGATGTCAATCCATCCCACTTTTTAAAAATTCCGATCAAAACATTTTGCGATTCACTATTCACTCACAACAATACAGCATTAAGATAAACCAAATGGTACGCTTGTTAAAGTTTGCACGTGAGAACGAACGAAAAGTTTCAAGGTTTTGGACTTTCCAGATGTTTTCATTGTGTTACACCGGAAGATTCAAATCACATGGATTTAATAACCATGTTCAAGTTCAAATAATAAATATTTTTTGTACACGTTCATACGTTAAATAATCGCAATTAATTAAATTCATTAAAGAACTCCTATTCGATGTTGAAAGTCGTTTAAGTTCTCTAAAACTCGTCGAGTTTCCACTCATCGGTAAATCAGTTCTAACGCATTAATTAAATAAACCGAAACTGCAATTTTAACATCTAAAAAAAAGGTCAACATTTGTTAAGGGTAACGTTTTCCCAGCAATCGAACGGTTACTGCGCGGATGCGTTGGGTTAGCGCACCAAACCTTTTGCACAGCATTGCGCTGACTCCTAAAAATTCACTGAGTTATCTTTTTTGTAGAACGATTGCTTGAAAATATTTGATCTACAACTGGAAAAACAGGAAATTTTTTTAAAACTTAAAAAATTTTCAGAGCGATGTGGGTGAAGAGTTTTCCAGATAGTTGATTATATGCTTTTGCTTAATCTGATCGTTGTTTGGGAAAACTTGTATTTTTTTGCATAAAGGACTCAGTTTGCCAATATTTTAAAGTAAAACGATAGGAAAAAGCGCATTTTTCTGTTTAAAGAGAGTCATTATTTATTTCTAAACAAAACTCTTTTTGTTTGAACATTTTTTTGAAATTTAAAATTTTCAATATTTTGAAAAAAATGAGAGAACTTTGTTTTGATTTTGTCCCCAATTCAAAGGTAAATCGAGTATTAGAAAACGACAATAAAGAAGACGAGTTTTGTTGTAAAATCGATCTCGTATTTTCTTTGCACAAAAGACTCAGTTTGCCAATGTTTTAAAATAAAACGTTAGGAAAAAGCACATTTTTGTCAGTCAATATTTCTAAACAAAACTATCTCTAAACAGAAAAATGCGCTTTTTCCTAACGTTTTACTTTAAAATATTGACAAACTGAGTCTTTCATGCAAAAAAATGTGATTTTACAAGAAAACTCGTCTCCTTTATTGTCTTTTTCGAATACTCGATTTACCATTGAATTGGGGAGAAAATCGAAACAAAGTTCTCTAATTTTTTTTTTCAAAAAATTGATGAAACCGGAATTTAAAAAAAAATTATTTTTTCAAGTAATTGTTTAATTCGAGTTTTCCAAGTAATTGTTTATTAACTTTCGCTTGTTCTGTTCGGGGAAAAATTTTCGGAAAAACCTAGAAAAACTTAAACCCTAAAAAAATTAGGGTTTTGTCCAAAATTTGGGGCTGCAAAAGTTTTTGACACATTTTTACAAAGCGGTTAAGGAGGGAATGTTTAGTGATAAAATTAATTTTATAATTTTTCACAGAAAATACCTGAAGATTGTCAGTATTTTTAAGAAAAACTGGAAAATAATGCGTTTTTTCCGTAGAAAGAATTGCTTAAAAAAAACCGTTGCTAAAACTGGAAAGACTTGAAATTTTAAATCAACTTTAACAGTCTTCAAAGCTATGAGAGAGGCAAAGTTTCCAATTAGTTTTTTTGTAAACTTTTGCTCTCTGGTCGTTTTTTCAAGACAATCTTTCGGTAAAAAACCAAATAAAAATAGTTGGAGTTCGTGCCAAACTGGAAGCTGAAAAGGGTTTTCTAAAATTCCGTGCAAAGCGATGAATGAGGCGAACAAAATTAATTTTATAATTTTTGGCTGAAAGGACCTCATGCTTGTCAGGAGAGAAGACAAGCATGAGAAAATATTGGGTTTTTGCGCTTTTAGTCAAATACCGGATTTTCGGGAGAAATTTATTTTCGTCCCGAATTCGACACTGAAAAAGTGTTCCAGATTGTGTGTATTTTTTTGTACAAAATAGAGCGTTTTTTAGTAGAAAGTAAAGCAAGAAAAAAATCAGTCAAAACTAAAAACCCAAAGGTTTTAGACACACTTTACAGCCTTCAGAGGAATTAAATTAAACAGCGCATTGCTGTTTCTCTTTTTTTTTGTTTATTATATATAAGTCGACCTACTTTTTGTATGTGTTTAATTCTTCCAATTGAAAAGACGTTTAAAGCGGTGCGTTTCGAAAGGAAATTCCTGCATAATTAGCGTTGGCTCATAGAGAGTTTTGATGATCAATACGGCTTATTTTCAGCAGAAGCAATCATTAAACTTTTGTGGGTTTATGTGTACCCATTATACGCGTTTTCGACATTTCAGACAGATCTCGATAAACAATTCAGGAAAAAATCGTTTTTCAAGTTTTGATTATTACAAGAATGTGCTTGCTTTTAATTAATACGAATACACAAACCTTGGCCTGCAAGCTAAAAACTGATATTTTCCATATGGTAAACAGGGTGTCCACATAGACGACATACTCTCATTGAGGTCGTAGTAGGATCTATTAAACAGATTAAACGCATGCTATGAAATTAAAGAGAACCACATTTCATTCAAACTTGTTCAAACCGTTGAAAATTAGGGAAAATATTGTAACTTTTGCTGAAAATTAGTCATATAATTTATATACGAAGTATTATATCGGGAAATCCTCGGCGGACACCCTGTATACGGCGGATCAAAGTATATCCACACAAAGTATATCCAGAAAAAAATACTTATACATATTTCCATTAATTTCAGACGATTATGGAATAATCTATGGAGCTGGCTGCACAGCCGTTGGATTATTGGTGTCCAACACCATCAATTACACAATCGAAAAAAACAGCTCATTCACGTACTTCAGTACGTATAAACAGCGGTTTTTCGAGCACAATGTAACAAATTTGCGGACTTACTGTCTGGAACACGGAAACAAAAGGAACGTTTCCGGCTACTCAATATTCCAGTGCCAGAAGAGCGACGAACTTGCAAACAAGTTCCTCTACACCCTGTGGGCCAAGGCAATATCCTGCATCTGTTTGCTCTTGACCATCTTGATTTACTTTTACCTGGGCGAGGTGAAAAGCTCGTTCGGAAAAATTCTTTTAAGTTACTGCATAGCCATGATATGCTTGATGATCACTCTTATCGTCACGCAGTGGTTTCCTGCGCATGATCAATGCAAAATTAGAGGTAGCAGCGAATTTAATTGTAATCAATAATCATTAATCAACGATTCATTTTGCAGCTTATTTAATAGTCCTCTTCAGCATGGCCTGTTATACATGGATCAATGTTATGTCCTTAGATATTTGGTGGACTTTTGGGTGAGTTATTTTTGTCGGCTTAGTGTCTCCAAGGGCGGATCCAGGGGGGGGGTCATGG